TTAATAAATTGCATGCAATAACTTTTTCAAATATGAAATTAGGGGCATGAACAATTTTATATATATATATATATAGTTTATATATAAACTTTGTATCTATATAACAGATGAGCAGCAAAATTAGATGGTACATCTCAATTAGAAGCTAAAAATTAAATACCAATAATTTGTAGCAAAAGTCAGTGTAGTTTTAAAAAAAAAACAATTAAAAACTCACAAATTTATCGATTTTGATTTGACTTACCGGATGTTCCTAAAATATGAACGCCTTCCACGCTGAATTCGTAAGGATTCGTAACAAGATTGAGCATTCTCCCGTATTTTGAACCCATTACAAATACTGCACGATGAATGGGTTGCTGAGGCATTAAATAAGTAGATGGATCACCTAGGCCAGGCATCACATCAACTTCCAGCAAATTCTGTGAATAAAGTTCTCTTCAACTCTGGTTGAACTCTGGTTATGGAGATAAGAGATTTGTAATCAAAAATACTACTTAATGATTTGTAATCAAAAATATACTACTTAATGCAAATATATGCATTTAAAAATTTTATCACGGCGGATAATTATCAAGAACATACTCAACTTACAGATATCTTTGATAAAAATTTATCCATATGTGCTACACATTCAACGTTTGGACATTCCTCATTTTTGATTAGATAACGAGCAGCAGTCGTAAATTCTCTCCCCTGAAAAAAAAATCTCAAGGACTTCCGAAGTACAAAGTAAACTTACCACTTTTTTTTTCGAATGAAATAAATAATATCAAATCGCATTAAATGCGCAGTTTACCTGCTCCGTTATAGCAACACTTTCTCCGGCTACTACCAATCGTACTGTTCTTTCTACAATATCACGCTCCTGAAAGTAACCTATTTACAGGAAAGCTTTTTTTCAATTATTAAAATAGAAATACATTTTTCACGTAATCACATGAAAGTTATAGAAGTATGTTGTCTGCTTTGCTGAGTGATACCTAAACTGTTTTATGTTATAGAATTTGAAATTAAGAAATAGTTTCAAAATATACAAACTTTTTCGAAAAGCGGTAGTAAGCCACAAAGCCATTTTTGCAACAAATCAAGAGAAAATATTTTTTCAGCGTCGGCTTGACCAGTAAATGAGAATCCCGAGACGAACGCAATATACCTTAACAAAATCACTCATTATCATGAAAGCGAAATGAAGTGTTTACTTTAGTAGAATGAATTAGACTAATTTAACCACTGCAAAATAAGACTGTCTGCTATAACAATTGCTTCTTCATTCTAAATGGTGCCATAAAACTACCTGTCATCGTTTAAAACTGGATATGTTGGCTGCGGTGCTTTAGAAGGCCAAATTATCTTAATAACTTGAAAGATATCATTATCAAGTTGTCTGCCATATATACCAACCACACATCCTGTAGCAACTTCGTCCATAACAAAATCACCGGAAAGACGTACAATTTGGTCGTCGTCTTCAAATTCCACAAAATCTTCTTCGCCTATTAATCTGCAGTTAAGAATTACTTTCACATAATCTCAAAGAAAATTTTAGGACCATATGAAATTTACTAAAATGAATTGAACAAAATCAACTCCAAAAAGCAAAAATCAACTTACTTATCTTCAGCAACTGGTTGCGGAAGGATGAGCTGCTCTTCCGCAAGATCACGAAGGACGCTTGGTCTTAATTTAACACGCTTTGCTATTGTACCAATAACCAAAACTTCATCACCTTTTTTAGCTTTTGTAAGTCGACATGGTTCAATATCATCACCTAAAAGCATCTACTTCCAATCTAAAATTCGCCAATTACAGATAGGCTATCCACTGCATTCCTATTTCTTCTTTTTTAATGTCGATAAAACCACCAAAATACCAAATTTAAAAAATTTATATACTAAGTCCTAATTATCTGATATCAGTTGCTGTTAATTCATTTCATTTCTCATCAAACGATTCATATTAGTAACACTATCGATATTAATAAAAGTTATTTGAAATTTTGTTTCTGCTTCATACTTTTCAATGATATAAAATGATACCAAGTAACAGTTTTGCGTTATCGATAATTCGATTCCTCAATAGTTTAATCCTTGCCCGATATACATGATAATATTGTCGATGAAAGCATTCCGCCTCGAGGTCTTTTTTTCCAATTATATATTTAATCGATAAATTCTGATATTGCGCCGGACGACGTCGACGAACACTCATTTCCTGAAAAACATTTTAAACAGATCTTAAGAAGTATTGAGAAATCCTAAAACTATTTTTAAGAGAAAGCCAAAACCAGAAAAACACTAAAAAAAAACATGAAAGACATGAAAGATTAGTGCATAAAACAAATGGCAATAAGTAACGCCAATGATCACAACAAAATGAACCAAATATAGTTTATAATTAATGACAGATAAGTAATTCACAGGTTATTGAAATCAAAGTACCGTGTAACGTGGAGAATAGCTAGCACAAGCAAGTATACACTGCAAAAAGTTTCGAAAAAAAAAAAAGGAAATTCTTAATTATTCAATCATTTAGCTAAGAAGCATGTTAACAAGAGCAGCGTCACAAATAAGTTTAGAATTTCAAGAATTTCTGCTAAATAACATCAGTTAAGTTGTTTATTTTTAAATGAAATTGCTTGAACTTACAGAGTCTTAAAAATTAAATAATTTATCTGTTAATTAACTTACTAAATCAGAATAAAATTGTGAAAAAAAGATCAGCAAATATAGCAGATTTTCCTCCTTTCTTTCTCACTTATATCATACAAACTACAATTAACAATAAACAACGTCAACAACTGATAACAAACAGCGCCAACAACTAATAGCAAACAGCGCCACGGACAAACAAACTAGCCGAGATACTAACAAGTCCCGCATTCATGCTCATCGTTTTATGACAGCAAAATTTCATTGCAGCTAAATGTTCTTATCATTATCTCTTTATCATTATCAGTACTGCTTGACTACGATTTGTTATGATCTACACAAATTATTTTTTATTTTTTCTCTCAGAAAAAGTTAATCTTTCTTTCTTCTTTTTTTGCTGTTGTTAAGTGCTTTACTTATAGTTATGAATATTTTATTATTGCATCATTAATATTTTATACGCTGCTATGAATTCAGGAAGAAATTTTCAATTTTCGATATGTAATGATATTTATATATTTAATATAAATATTAAATGATGCAAAAATTATATGTATTACTCATTGAGCACTGATTTACACATTCATATGAAAAGATTCGTAAGAATTTACGTCTGAAAAAAATGCATTCTCAGAAATTTTTTAAATAGAAAATTTGATTATTTTTTCAAATTTTAACAATTGGCTTCTTTTTTTTTTTTTCAAACATTATGCAGCATTATGAAAAGTATAATTTGTTTCATTTTTTTTATAAAAAGTATCAATAACTCTCGGAGAATTTTTATCTTTTTCTGAGAAAATATCTAAACAAAGGTAATCTTTTTTTTTTATGTCTGTCTGTCTTTTGATTATGGAATGTATTCATATAATTTAATATTTTAAAAATATTTAGTTTTTTTTTTTTTTAATATGCCTAATTTGAAATTGTAATTGTAGTGAAATTTTAAATTTGATGAAATGACAGTAATTAATGGTTTAGCAGCGATAAGAAAAGAAATTTAACATTTAATCTTTCATAAATAATACCAGAAGATTAATTCTTTGTAAGTCATGAAATCGTATTTTCTTCACGATGCTTTCTCTGTTTGAGACTCATTTGAACTTTCCTCAAGATTAATGGAAACATTCACGGATGGAATTTTTTTGTCGGAAAGAAAAATGTGCGCAATAGCGGATGCCATACGCCCAATTGCATCAGCATTTTCGTCTGGAAGCTTATTATTATCATCAACCGTCATCATTATCAATCCTCATTATCACCATTGTCATTAATCGTCATCATCATCAATCCTCACTATTATCAATCGTCATCATCATCATCGTCAATCCTCATTATCACCATTGTCATTAATCGTCATCATCATCAATCCTCACTATTATCAATCGTCATCATCATCATCGTCAATCCTCATTATCACCATCGTCATCAATCGTCATCATCATCAATCCTCACTATTATCAATCGTCATCATCATCATCATCAATCCTCATTATCACCATTGTCATCAATCGTCATCATCATCAGTCCTCATTATTATCAATCGTCATCATCATCATCAATCCTCACTATTATCAATCGTCATCATCATCATCATCAATCCTCATTATCACCATTGTCATCAATCGTCATCATCATCAGTCCTCATTATTATCAATCGTCATCATCAATCCTCATTATCACCATTGTCATCAATCGTCATCATCATCATCATCATCATCAATCCTCATTATCACCATTGTCATCAATCGTCATCATCATCATCATCATCATCATCAATCCTCATTATCACCATTGTCATCAATCGTCATCATCATCATCATCATCAATCCTCATTATCACCATTGTCATCAATCGTCATCATCATCATCATTATCAATCCTCATTATCACCATTGTCATCAATCGTCATCATCATCAGTCCTCATTATTATCAATCGTTATCATCATCATCATCAATCCTCATTATCATCAACCGTCATCATCATTATCATCATCAAACCTCATTATCATCAATCATCATCATCATCAACCCTCATTATCACCATTATCATCAATCTTCATCATCATCGATCCTCATTATCACCATTATCATCAATCGTCATTATCGTTATCATCGTCATAAATCGTCATTATCATTATTGTCATCGTTATGATCATTATGAATAGTCATTATCACGATTATGATCATCATGAATCATCATCATTATCAATCATTTCAACAAATCAAAGCAAAGATGTGTATAGAAGAATTTTACAATTCAAAGACGAACAAAAACTAATCACAATGAACTAAAATAATATTATTTGTTGTCTGCAATTGATGATTTCCCTTTAGAAAATAAATAAATATCTAGTTCATACCAAGACTTTCAGAAAGTGTATCGGTTCGAATGATTGTTCGTTCAATTGTTTTCGCACCAGGTCCAGCAAAAACTGTCACTTTATTCTGGAAAGTATTTAATGGATTGTCATCACTACTATGAAATTTGTATCTAAAATTTATCAAATAATTTCATTATTAGAATTAAGTAATTGGATAATAATGAATGCTATTTTATTGCTAAATAATTATAATTAGGAAATATTCTTTTCTTTATTATTCTTTTTTTGAGTTAAATAAATATTAAAATTATTACAGTTGAATATTAGAGAAGTGTTCTCTCTTTTCTTAAATCAAATATTAAAATCATTTGCAAATTGTTATATTTTCTCAATTCAAATATATTTTTATATTTTTCATCCTTACCAGTTTTAGCTTTTATTTTTGTTTTTGTGGGGATGAAAGAGACTAATAAATTGAAAATAAATTAAAACATACAGCTTTCTTCTTCACATTGATAAGTTCAGATGCATAAGCTGGATCAGCTTTATCCCATTCCACGTCCGAACACGTTGATAATGATTCACCAAATTTTCTTTCTTCTATTTTTTGATCCTAAAATAAAGATACATGACAAAAATTTGCACTAATTTGATAAGTTTTTTTTTTTAATAAATTAGAAAACTTAACAAAAAATTTTCGAGATATTGTGACAAATTAATTTGTGATTTTGAAAAGAGAAGAAAAAAACGATAGAAAATAGAAAAAGAAAATGAAAAAAATAAATTTAATATAATTATTAACTTTTTTAATTATGTGCTTCTTTTTAGTCTTTATATCTTCGTCCTTCAATTTTTTTTCAGAACTTTTCTTTTTTGGTGATGACATTTTGCTATTATTACTATAAAGCGATGATCAATGTAAAATCAAAATATCTGAGATGAAAGGATAACTCGACCGTTTGCTATTTTAAAACTACACTACACTACACTAACATTTCAATATATCAACAATTTAAATTCATTCTAAAATACATATATATCAATTATTTTCATCCATTTATGTTTTCATGTATTTTTCGTATTTTTTACTCTTTAATATTTAAAAAATTTTAATTTCATGCCATTTCATTATTTTAATTTCCAGTTGTAAACATTAATTTTAGTTTTATTTTTGAATTAATTTTAACCATACAAATCAAAATAAGTAAATACAAAATAAGTTTTTGTATGTGTTTTTTTTTTTTCCAAAATGAAATTATAATTTCTACATTTTCAATTTATCGACAAAACTGTGAAAGACTGACATCAATTTAGAATTTTATTCTCTTTATGTCTGAATATACAATAAGAAATGATTTTAATTGAAATGATTAGTCTGAAGTACCAAATATTTGAAATTATTTTCAGTTACTTTTCTATTAATATACTTATAATCTTGGATGATGCATAAAATATAATCGTATCATCAAACGGAAAATCATTGTTTTATAATTATTATCATCTATTTGATTAATTAATCAGTTTATTTATTTTATTTTTTTACTTTCTTTTTTATTTATTGTTATTCTATTTTTAAATTTTAGACATTTTTTAACAAACAAACAAAGAGACAATGTGATAAATTATGTTTCATTGGCTAACATAAACTGATTCTATAAACTTTTCACAAAAAAGATTGATGGAAAAACGCAAAAAAAAAAAAAAAATTTTTTTTCCCTATTTTCTTATTTGGATATCAATCTGTGTTCAAAGTTTAACAAATTTTATTTTTAATATTTTCCTCTTATATCCATTTCTTATGCTACTTTTTTCTTCTCATTTAAAATTTTTAAATAATCACAACTGGTAGAGTCAGATCGTGTGTGTTTCTGTGACAAATTAAAATCCGGCACAAATCAGGTGGTTGTCATATGATGTGTGAAATTTCTACGTAGTAAACAAACATATTCAATAATTTTGACTTATTTAAAATCTCAAAAAAAAAAAAACAGCAGATATAATTTTATAATTTTTATAAAAATAAATTCTAAAATTCACAATTCTTATTCGTACCAAAATTTTGTATTCTACAACAAATTTTGAATAAATCACAGAAATTTTTTTAGTATTACTGTTTGAGTAATTTAGTTAAACAGAATAATTTTAATTCTATTAATCCATTTTTATCGATTATTCAATAAATTATAATTTTTGAAAAAAACAACGAACTTTTTTTAAAAAAAAAAAAAAGAATGAGCTCAAAATGTTGAATTTAACTTTTTATTTTTGTTATTTTTATTTTTTGTTTGTTTGCTATTTTTGCACATAACTTTTAATCATTTAAGCACTTAGAATGATTAATTTACTCCAAAAAATGATTCATTTCTATCAAATTACTACTATTTCTCTCTCAAAATTTTATCTCAAATTAATGATCCGAAATAGAAGAAAAAGAAAAAAAAAGAAAGAAAATAATGGAAATTTGAATTTGATTTATTGCTTTGTGGAAAGTTTGTTAAAAATAAAATTTTTAATCAATTTATTTATTTTCATCTCAACGATAAACAACAAAGTATTTAGCTTTTCATTTTCATTTTGCATTTTAAGACAAAAAATGCTTCTCTTTCTAATCTAAAATATTACTTTTCATTTTATACTAATACGACTTTTGCATAAATTTAATATTTCAAATAAAAATTTCCACTTTTTTTTTTTTTTTTTAGTCAATCTTTGAAATTATTTATACTTTTTTGCATATTTTATTATTAAATTATTCTTATCTATTCGTTTTTTTTTTTTCATTTTTTCACATTTTTGTTTATTAATTGAATGGCACACTTTTTTTCTTTCACATATTTGATAAAATTAAAAATTTTGTGTTATCGCAGATAGAAATGATTTATTTCATTCCTTTATTTTAGTTCATTTTTATTTTTTTGATATCATAAACAATAAAACTTTTTTGTAATATTTCCTCATTGTATACATTTAATAACTAATTTCTAAAATTGAATTTCTAAAATTTTTTTTTTCTAAATAACAATTTTGACATTATAACTGATTTATAACTTAAAAAGTAATACATCAATAAAGTATACATCGTTTTTTAAATACTTTTTTTTTAAAATGCTACAGTAATTCTTAGTTATTGTATTACAAATACAATAATTTTTAAAGTTATTGTATTATCATTTAAATAAACAAACTATGAAAATAATTTATTCTTTCACATTTTCTTTCTTTTTTGCTCTGTCATATCATTTCAATCTTTTAAAAGAAAGAAATTTTCTTTTATTCTTTTTAAAACATATCAAAACTTATAGCTTAGAACTAATAAACATCCCAGGAGACTATTACAACAAAGTTTTTTCAAATTTTTCAAATAAAAAAAAAATTTCATAGATAATTTGACATTGTGGCATTTTTTTTTTTTTTTTGTATATTGGCTTTTTTGATTGTTTTAAAAAGAAATTGTATTCACATCATTTCACAAAACAAATAATTCAATAATTTAAGAATTATATTAGTTGCAGATATAATTTATGCTTTCCTAGATTTGTCTTTTCTTGTTTTAAATTTATTTCATTTGAAAATTCAAATTAAAAGTTTTATAAAATAAAGCAAATACTTGTTAGCATTTTCGAAATGAAAATGGAGATTAAATGTTTCATTCGTATTAAATGTTTAAATATTATAAATGAATTAGAAGTGATATTTACAAAATGGTTGCGTTAATTTTTGTAGTAAAACTAATTAATTAATTAATTAATTAATTATTATAATTTATAGGTAAGCAACGTAATGTGTTTGAAATGAAACACAACGAATAAAATTGGCAATTTCAAATAAATTTTGCATTTACTAAAAATTGCTGTTTTCATTTCAATTTTTATAATAAAAATTCAACTAATTATTGTTTACTGAAATAAAAAAAAAAGCTAAAATAATTTTCGAATTAATTCATATTATTATTATTATTATTGCCGATACAAAATTAAATGTTGTACGTATTGAATTAGATTTAATCGAAATGCTTTCATATGCTAATAAGCCGAGGTCAAAGGTATGTTTTCAATAATAATTTCATTTCTTTTCTTTCTAAATAAAAAATAAAAATTTCTTCCTTAAAATTTTATTGTCAAACATCATTTCTGTTCCAAATAATTTCAAATTTTTGTTGTCTTTTTTTTTTCCCAACAAAATTAGTTCTTATTTCTAAGAGAAAATCAATTTAACTACATATAAATATATTGAAAATTGAATTAAAATAATGAAAATATTAAAGAATTTTTTAAAAGATTTAAAAGAATGCAAATGTTGAACAAATAGTGTGATATTTTAATAAATTAACATATATGTAAATGTAAAAAAAAAGAAAAAATAGAAAAGAATTCTTTTACTGAAATAAAAAGTTTTGAGAAAAAGTTTAGAAAATTCAAAAAAAAAAAAAAAACGATTTTTATTTTTTTTTCTCGAAAACACTTCTCATTTTCTTTCAAAAAATAAGAAATAAAAATAAAAAATTGGTTCTTTCTTTTTTTTTTTTTTTTTTTTTTTTTGGAGACATAAAATTATATTATAATTTTAGCAAAGTGATATTCGAAATGAATTAAATGAGATTAAAATGATTTGTGCACATCATAAAGCATTATGTCAAAGTTTCATGCAATGGAAAGTTGACATTGATGAAGTAAGTAAATATAGAAATTGAAATGTAATAATTCTTATTTATTACTTATTAGATGCAAATTTTAATTATTTTAAATTGATTAGACTAAATTTAAGTTTCAAATTATTTACCAATTACATTAATAAATTACTTGTGTTCGTTCAAATCAACTTATTTGAGAACGGAAATTAACTGTATGATTTTATGAATTTTTGTAAAATTTCACATTTAAAAAAAAAAGATTAAGTCAACAAATTTAAAATTTAATTTAAAAATACTCCATAGCATATATATTTAAGTATTTCGTTTTTGTCTAACTTTGAGTTATCTTTGAATGATATAATTACAGAATGATGCGCAATTGAAAATTTTAAATGAAGCAGCTATGTCACTTCGTAAACGGCATGAAAACATTGTGGCGCAGTTGTCCAATGGACCAGGTAATGTGCTGCTGTATGTTGGACAAATTAAAAAATCAAAATTTTAGGCTATCTTTAATTAATTACTTCTAATGCGCTTAATTAATTAATTAATTAATTAAGCGCATTAGAAATGATAGATGTGTTACATTTCTATGATATCCTTTCTTACTTACTTTCTTTTTTTTTCTACAAATTAATTTGAAATTTGTCTCTTTTTTTTTCTTTTTCTAGTAGATGGTAAAACAGTGATACAATTAGAAAATGAAATTAAAAAAATCGAAGCACAGGTAAATATGTGGATACGAGAATTAGCTGAAATTAATAAAGCACGAACTAAACTTGAGGTATTTCCAGTATTTCTTATTTAATAAAAGTAAGGAATCTTTTTTTTTAATTTTCAAAAGTATTATTAAAGAATATTTATTACTTCCTTTAATCGTATTTTTGAAATTTTTTTTTTTTTAGCAAATTTTTGTCAATCAGAAGAGTAAGAACATTAAATTTCATTTCTAAACTCTCTTTAATCATCTATTTTGTTCTTTTTTTTTTCAAAATTTGTTTCAAAAATAATTAATTCAAAATTTCAGATAGAGTTTGTATATCTACGATCAAATATACGCTTGAATACGGTAAATATTGAAGTGGCAAACGTGGATATTAATCGAATTGAATTAAACCATCGCCAAATGTGGAACAATTTCTTGTATAATAATGATAACAATGATAACGAGCTTATCAGTAATGATAATAATAACTAATTAATCTATTTCCAATTAATTATTGCTTTCGTCATATGCAATTTGAATAATAATAATT